TGGGCAGGACTCTTGCACAGCAGTGTCAATGTAAGTCTTGCTATGCCAGAAGGGATGGCCCAGGCAACGACTGTATTGCCATCCAAGCTGCCAGAGCAAAAGAACTCTATTCACTGTCCTTGAATCAAAAAATCACACCAGAATTTGGTCTCCAAAGAAAAAAGGCACATTGCATTGATCCACAGGAGAGCCTCCTTTTTCTTCTACAGCCAAGTCAGGTAAAGCACAAGGTTTTTCTGGAATTACAGTTTCAAATCACAGGCTACCTGAACAGCATCTCTCTGACTTCATCCTGGCTACAGAATTTTCAAACCCTAGGCCATGAAAATAGCTTGGCATAAAAGAATACAGAAACCTTTAACAGGTTTACAGGCACTTTTCCAGCTTTGGCAACTATCTCCACTTAAAGTTCATAGGCAAAAGTCTGCTTTGTGTGTGTTCCTACTCCCTTGCAAATTGTGCTGCCAGAGCTGTCTGTGCTGCAGACAGACCGATTGACAGCTTAGCCTCCAGCCAGAATTCTGATTCAAAGGAATATCAAATTCTGGGTAATAAAGTTTGCATGAAATTTTTACCTGCAACAATTCCCCAATGTGCTGAACTGCATGATACTGACTTATATAATACATCATTTTAGCAGCACAGTTAAACAAAATGCAAAGCCAGATTCAGTTTGATTTTGTTCCTCGTGTTCATAGACATTACACCACATCTGATCGCTGTAAGCCATTACTTCCATTATTTTGTAGTACACACACATATATATACACATATATATGGAGTTTATAAACATCAGATACAAAATTTTCTTAAAGGAGTGTTACAATCAAATCAAATGTTTAAATGTAGGCTTTTAAAAATATTTAAACTATAAAAATAGAAAATTAAAAAATGCTTTTAGGTAAAAGACTGAAGTATGTGAAATATTGAAAAGGACTACTTCAGTATTACTGATATACTTTAAATTTTTTAAAAATTCAGTGTTAGAATGGAAAAGTTTCCATAGGCAGTTGATTTGGATGAAAACACATTTTCTAACAGAACAATATTCCATTGAAAAAATTTCCATTTGCATTTTCTAGTGGCCATTTTTTCAATGACATTTTCCAAAGAACAATCTACATCTGAAAATTTTTCAACAAGCTCTTGTGAGCTCTTAAAGAAAACAAGAAGTAATTTTCTGAAAATAGATTTTGGAAGGTGGTTGTTAGTCTGCGCTTTCACCTTTTTACAAAAAAAAGTAGCATACCAAATATGGAACAATTGCCCCAAATTTCTGCTAACTGTATTTTAACTTAAAATACAAATTACTGAAAACTGTTCCCAGATTTCAATTACAAACCTTGAGTGATTTGATTTTAAACTGGTACCCAGAGATGTCTGTGTCAGGCAGCCTGGACCAAACTCTGGTGTCCAAGCACAGCATCCAGTTCAAAGTTGGGTCTGCAGCTTGGATTTTTCTCTTTATTAGACTGAGTTAGCCAATTTATCTGAATTTCAGTGGTACCTGCAAGTCCAGTTATTGATAACAAATCCCATACCAAGTGCTGTCTAACCATAAGAAAACACCCAAAGAATACTCCAACATTGCCACATCTTTACGCTTTGATGAGATCAGACTGAGAGTCTGCTTTCCAGTCAGTTGTGATGCTGTTTACAACAAACATTTACAACTTTCCTAATTTTTACTTTGTTTTCTTAATAATTTCTTCCAGTTTTTCAGCCATACAATCACTACTGAACCTGGCTATGCCCAGGTGGGCATTTGTATAGGTGCTGAGGAGCCCAGGTTTGTATGTATTGGATGTATAAGTGAGGAGGGAAGTGGTTGGTAGCTTAAAGCAATGCCTCAGAAGTCAAACTTAGCAGAATGAAAAATACTGCAACCATCTCCAGCCCACGTTCCAAGGCTGCTCTTCAAATCTGCCAGTTCAGGACTTGGAACCCACACTGATTCCAACACTCTGACATTTAGGGAAATTCATGGCCTTTTTTTCAAGCCCATTCAAGATTTGAATACATTTCAAAAGATGCAGAGGTTAATTTCTTCCAGTTTACATGGCATTTGGATCTAGCTCAGCAGCACCTCCTCAGCTGGGGTAAGTGGTGATGGCCCCTTTTGCTCTTCTGCAGCTCTGCAATTCATACTCCAGCTGCAGATCTGCTCCTTGATTTCACATCCAGTAGTCAAGGGGGAATATAGTTTTAAGTTCTTCTCCACTCAAAGAGAGTCAACTTCATGAACTTCACTTAACAGTCTGGTTGCTGTGCATCATGAGTAGCCAACCACAATGCCTAGAGCTGGGAATCTGCAGGAGAAGTACTTGGATACCAAGAAGAAAAGTCCTTTCCATGTGTTCACTTCTTTCTTGTTTCACAGAAATAATTTGATGGCTGCTTGTTTTCTGCCTCAATCTCTTGTTCAACTTTACCACAAGGTGGTTTAGCTGTCCTAAATCACAGATCAAAAAGTAAAATGCTAAAGTGCAGGCTAATTCTCTAGTTTCTGTAGTGTATGAACTGCGCCCGACCCCCCCACCCCCACTTCCCCTCAGACAGTTCAAAGGGCAATTTGTTTCACCCTTAGATAGCCATCTACAGTAAGTTAGACAAATAGCTCTTTGGACGTGTATATCCATTCATTGTGAAAGGAACCTCCTTTAGGCTTTGGCATATACCTTTCCTATGTCTAAAGTTAAGTGAGATAAATCACATCCACAGCTGTTGTCCATGTAAACAGGGCCCAGCAATAAAGCTGTGGTGAGAGAAGATCGCTGCAGAAACAGCCACGGCAGTCTGAGATACTTCATCCCCTCCACCCCACTGGCCATCTGTTCCAGCCATTGCACCAGATGTGCCTGATCCCTGCGGCACAGCCGGTGGGACAGGGCCATCCTATGAGCTCTGTCTGGTGAGCAGGCAGCTGGTTGCTCCTGAAGGGATCTGACGCTGACCTGGCTGAACTTTTTGCTGAAGCAGCTGAGAAATGTTCTTACAGTCCTCCCCATTGCTCAGCTGTGGACTCAAAAACTCTCACAAGAGGGGCAGTAACTACCCTCAGGCAGATGTTACACAAGGTTGCAATATCAGGACATTAGGAATGAATGAAAAATGCTCCTGGAAGGTTTAGCTTTTCCAACTGATACATTCTTATTTCTGCTTGAGCTACAGAAGGTCTCTGACGAATCATCCAATTTGTTTTATATATACCCCAACTGGTTGTTGTTCTTTGCCCTGGAGGGAGTTGGAAATTTTGTATGCAGCCTGTACTCTGTAAAGAGATGGGAAAATAGTAATATCCCCCTGCTTGCACAGTCCAAACAGATGGCATAGGGCAGGTAAAGAGCTATTCTCTGAGAAATGCTAGCTATGAACAGTATTTCAAACATCAATAATTTGAGAAACACAGCAGCAGAAATTAGATGTAAAGTGACATAAATGACTTCTAGAAGATACCATTAGTTTAAAAAGTGATGTGCATAAAAGAGAAGAGCAGAAAAGCACAGCCACACAAGCCAACATGCACTGACCCAATCTGCCTGAGAGACATCCACATCGTCAGAAGCGCACTGCAAAGGCAACCTAGCAGTTGATTGAGTGAGGGCAACCAGGCCAGATGTTTTGCTTGGATTCTGTTTTTATTGCCAGCTGCTGCACACCAGCCTGAAGCACCAAGATGGGGGACTTGGGATGAACAGCAAGGCAAAGGTAAATTTGTTATTAAATGCATCTTCAAAGGGAGAGATATGGCAAGGAAGGAAGGATGTAAGGATAGTGGAATGTACAACTCTTCATCTGTAGGTCAATATTTATTGCATTTCAGATCAGCAGTTCTGCAAGTCATTATTATCTGGTCAGTTTTATTGAATCAATTTGGCAGTCTCAGTACAGTGCCTAATGTATAGAGGAAAAATTTAAAAAGACTGAAGAGATTTAGGAGTCTAAGTCCCACTCATTATCAGTGGAACTTAAACTCTCTGAGAAGTTATGTGCTTTTGAAAATGGGATGTGGTCTTCTAAGTCATGTACACACTTTTGAAAAGATTATCCTACTTGGCTAGAGCATGGTGTGATGCTTGCTGGTCTCCTTGCTGTCAGTCATAGCAGAGAGGTCAAGGACTGAGTGGCTCCCAGTGATTACTGGCTTATGAAATTCTCCTTTTCTTCTTCTCAGAACAGTCCCTCCTGTTGAGAGCAGGCATGTTGGCAGGCAATGATGTTGTAGAGAAATACAGGTTTCAGTGAAGAAACTGAGAAACCTGTTGTCTGGAGAAGGCACCATGGTATTTTCCACAAGTCAAAAATGTTAAAATTTGAGAGATGTACAAATAAATACAATGCAGAGGCAGGGATAAACTAAATGAAACATTGGCAGATCTGGAAAGATCTGATGTGCCACTGGGACAATGGAGTCTATTTTCCTGTAAGTGCCAGGACTACAAAGGAAACCTGCAAAACTGTTAAATAAAACTGGGGTTTAAAAAGGAAGGGAAAATTGTCATTTTAATTAATGCCAGGAATAACAGCTATTTTCTTCTCTTCTGATTAAAATGGTTATGGAAAAACAGAGCTGCAGAGCTGCTACAGCCACCAGCGGTAGTGTTGCTGTTGCTACCAACCAGCATTCAGCTTCCTTGACTGAGTATGTTCAGAACCTCACCCCAGGGTGTGTGTGGGGCACATCTCAATTCCATATCTTTTAGCCCAATCCCCATGCTTTATTCTTCTTAGATTCCACTTATCTGGTCTCATCAGAAGTTTTCAATGAGCCAAGTATGATCCATATTTTTAACGTAATAAATTACCCCAAGCTCCCCCTCAAGATCTTTGCCCTTCTCACATGTTCAACAGCTGCTGTCCCTTAAGAGATGCTGGTGGGTCAGAAGTGGTGGTGGTGGCTGTGGTTTGACCCACACCCAGACCCCCAGCACCTGAGACACTGGCTGTTCAGCACAGCTCCAGTTATGCTTCCATCCGTGTGTCCTGCCAGCAGGAAGTCCCCAGCCAGCACGGGTGAAACAGGAGGGCACCTAATCAGAGAATTCTGCAAGCCTCTGCTCCACCTGGCTATGTCCTTTTGTCACCAAAAAGCTCCATTCTACTTATTGTTTTTTATAGCTGATCTTCATCTATCCAGATGGTTTTACGCTGCTCTTCTCCGATCCTGTCTTTTATTGTTCGGATAAGATCTTCAATACTGCTCCACGCATCTGTCTCTACAGAGGCATAAAGACATGGCAGTGCTTCCAGTTCTTTCTCCTTCAGACGGCACATACGTAAAAACTCATCTTCAGTCTCTGGCTTTGGCAATAGTTTCCTGTATCAAATGAGCAGACCAAAAATAAATGTCTTACATTTTAAGTTAATCCTCTAGTCCCAGCTGCCCCATCAAGAATTTATATTCTACGGACTACATACAAGCATAAAAGCAGTGCAGAATACAACTATTCCAGGTCTATCCTCTCCGTGTGTCCATGCTGCCCCCAAGGAAAAATATTTGCTATGGGGAAACAATTTAAGAGGATTGAATGTAGGCAGAGTGCAAGTGTTTATGACCTTTCCCCTTCCAGCCAGCATTACCTTAAAAAATGCTGTGGGAGTGCTGAGCATGGAGAAAACCTCATATTCTTCAGTCTCATCCTCCCACAATGCTCATTGCTATCAGCGACAGTGAGAGAGTGCTAGATCTGGGGAATTCCTACTTTCCCCAGTTGTAAGATTTCAGGGAGGAGTCGCGGGAGGAAATGATGCACACAGAAGCACCAGATGAAGAGAGAAGAGGTTCTTTATTTCTCTCGATGAGGACATTATTGGACTGAAGAATCATTCACTGAACAAGACGGAATATCAAATATGGAAAAGGTTTGATATGTTACCTGAACCTCTTGATGTTTTTCTCTGAGACTCTGATAAAGAGAACAATAGGATATATCTTGGCTTTGATTAAATCCTTTGTGCAGCTTATTCCAGCTTCCAGGAGACAATGCTTGTTCTAAAAACAAAGTCATAGCAGTGTCACAAAGGAATATTCAGGGCTGGGGAATCTCGAGATAAAGGTACCTCTGCCTTATGGGGTCAGTTCAAAAGCTCTTCATTTACCATTGTACTGATTTAAAACCTTTTAATCAAATATACATTTAAAGTCCAGACTCCTCCTACTGGTTTAAAACCAGTCAGTCAAAGAACAGCTGAGCTTCACAGCTTTCTGAAAAGGCTCAAAATAGAAATGAATTGATCTAAAGATGAAGAGCATGATAAAATACCAGTTTTACATACATACACAAACACACATACTCGGTCTTTGTTCAGAGAGAACATCTACGGCAACACTTTAATTCTCCTTTTTTTCCATGCTGTGAATCAAATCTACGCTACTTGATATGAGAGCTCTTTGACATTGTTGTCTTTGTACTGTACACCCCTGTGTCTGTGTTTCAGGATATCCTTTCTTTGCTCTAGGTCCTTGTATCTCTTACTCTCTTACATACTCAAATATACTTATGATATGAAAAGGAACTGAATAAGGGAGGGAGCATAGGAAATGAAAGGATATTTTGCTGCATCAATGTGGGTCATCACAGGGAATAAGCGAGAGTACAAAAGGATATGGCTGAGGATGAAAAAGAAAAGGAAAAGTAAGACCACAAACAAAAGCCATTTTGGAGAATAAATAGAAATCTGAAATTGAAGGTGGTCAAGAGAGAGAACATGCAACTGTAAATTGGTCAGTCTCTTATTCAAGAAGAAGCATACACTGCAGAGAGATTCCCAGACAGCCTATGGAAGGGAAACAGAGTCCTGTAAGTACCTTGGCAGTGACAGCCTCAATGTTGGCAGGTACAATACATTCATACGTGTTCAGATTCTTCTCTCTGCTGAAGATGATAGTCTCCGTTCTTTGCTTCCTTAAGAATTCTTCCTTTGTAACAATATCTGGAAAGAGATGCGGGCGAGGACAAAATCAAGATTAGAACAGAACACCTAGAAAACTATCCAGTAGTGCTCCATACAGGATGTAAGGATGGTTCAGGGCAAGACGACAAGCAATGAATTGTCTTAACAGCTGACTCATTTCTTCCATTGAATCCAATTAAAGCCTAATCTGATCACAGCTGAGCATCTCAGCTATATCCTGCACCAATGAGTCCTTGGGCAATTACTACAACACTATGAAGGCATTAAATTAAAACAGTAAATACAATTCCAGCACCTAATGTTGTATAGTAACATTTTGGGGCTGGAGGATGCTGAGAAGTGCTAAAAAAAGAAGCTCTTCAGTATAGCCTCCTAAAACAAGGATTTAGTGTTCCAACATTTGTGTTTAAAGTTTCAAAAAATTTGGCTTAGGTTGCAATGTGCGAGACTGGCCCCCTTATGAATTGCAGCTCTACTTCAAAGCATTTGTTTTATGTTGCAAGACAGAGGATATTTATTATAATACTTAACTTTTCAGTTTCTCTGTCTGGATAACTTTAAGACTGCATACTATGCAGTGGATATTCAATATTAGTGTAAAAATGAAACGTCAGCTGTGTTTAATGCTGTGTTGTATACAATCCTGCCCTACAGCAATTGCGGTACTGCCTATTGCTTTAATAGTAAATACTTAGCATGGAAAAAAAATCAGTCTTTTGAGTAGATCAAATGCACAATCTTCACAGCCTTGGACGAGATAGAAACCTAAAGTCGCTCTAGGGAAGATATTCCTCATAATAGCAAATACTAGAAACAAATTAATCAAAATTTCACATTGCCTAGATATGCAGTATGCAAACAGTATGCAAACAGAAAGAGCACTCACAGCATTTCAGTCTCTGAGGGGCATCCTAGCAACCACACAGCATACACATGGATAATATTCATAGACACAGAATCTCATAACCATGTGCACTGGCTGTCTCAAAAACATTCAAATATCTCAGATAGTCTCAAAAAGCAGGATTTATAGCTACACATAATTCTGATGTGCCTTGAAGTACCTCAGGCAACTATCACATGTGCATGCCCCTACGTGTGCATGCATATATATA